TTTTTTTTTTTTTTTTTTTTTTTTTTTTTTTTTTTTTTTTTTTTTTTTTTTTTACTTTATTTGATTTATTTATTTATTTATTTTTATTATATGTATATATATTTCTTCCTTTCTTTCCCGGGTCGTTACAGAAACAATACAAGAGGAATAAGATTCAAATTACCTTGTTGATCGAATATCACAAGTCAAGAAAATTGTTTGAGATTCGAATCACTCCACAAGCAAGATCGATCATGTTTAGCTGGAATGATTCTTGTTGATCAAATATCTCAAGGCAAGAACACTTGATTGAGATTCGAATCACTCCACAAGCAAGATTGATCATGTCGAGCTTGAATGATTCTACATGCAATCTAAACTACATAGAATTACAAAGAAACTTAGCCATTGGGAAGAGCACAAATGCTTCTTTTACTACATTTTCCAAGTCTACTTACAAATACAACATACATGGCTTTATATAGCCTCAAAATGAAACTATTAGAGGCATTACAACAGTTGTAACATTCATACTTAATGACCATAATTAACTATTATAATTGTAACCTAAAGTAAATAAAAAGTATTAAAATACATCAATGAGATACAATAACTCTAAATGGTAATTCACCCAAAATTTATAACACGAAACTTCATTCTTCTTCAATGTGGCATGAATTGAAATATCTTTTGATAATTTCAACAATATTTTCTTCACATCTTCATTCAAGTATATTATATGATTGATGTCTCTGGGTTCATTTAGTTGTATTATAAAATTATTTATAAAGTACAAATATTAAATAATTTTAGAGTACAATTAGGAGACATTTTTGAATTAAACGACTCTTCTATGAGTTGTATCATTTCACATCTATGAGCTTATGGGTTTCATCCCGGGTTGATTCCTAAATCCTTCGGTGACCTCCGTTTACTTTTTTTCTAATCAATAACCAAATTTGTAGAAGAGTCTATGACTACGAATTAGTCTATAAATATGTCTCTTCTTCAAATTGGAATGCACGTTTTATCTTCTAATAAAAAAAATTATTGAAGTTCGATTTACTCTATAATGTTCCAGTATCTTGTGGAATGAGATGTTGCATCTATTGATCTACTGTGAGAGATAATTACTCGATAAACTCAGGCACTGAAGAGAGTAAAATTGTCTTAAGAAGACAACAGAAAATCATTATGGTCAGATCTTCTCTGGCATACAAATTATTAATTGCAATGATAGTTTCTATATTAGTGGGATATTCAATCATAAAAATATGTTCTTTCTGACATTTTTGGAAAGTGGACAGACAATCGTTCTTCTCCCTTCTCACAATGTTCCCGAACTTACCAAAGACTTGAGTTATGATTTGGGCGGCTTTCTCATCCAGAGGACTCAACATGGTTTCACCGGAAATTATCAAGGTTTGGTTATGAATTACGACACCCATTTGAGATTATCAAGAACAGAGCTCATATGTTTCTAATTCTTTGCAGCCAGACGTGACAACGTCGGGAGTGAACATAATCGCAACATTCTCCAGCGCCGTGAGCCCAATAAAGGAGCCATTCGACAACAGAACAGTTCCATACATAACAATGTCAGGGACCTCCATGTCCTGTCCCCATGTCTCCAGCATTGTCGGCCTCCTCAAAGCTCTCCACCCCGAATGGAGCCCCGCCGCCATAATGACCTCTACCAGAATTCGCGACAACACAATGAACCTCATGCTGGACGGCAGCTCCCCTGTCTTCGCTCCAGCCACCCCCTTCATATATGGGTCAGGGCACATCCGCCCACTGGCGCCATCAACCCTGGCCTTGTCTACAACCTTTCCCCCAACGATTACTTGGAATTCCTCTGCGCCAGCGGCTACAAGGAGAACAGCATTCAAGTATTCACCGATGGCAATTTCATATGCCTCATTTCTAGTTCTATTTTGAACTTTAATTACCTTTCCATTGGGGTTCAGAACTTGACTACCAGTGTCACTGTTACTAGAAGAAGGCTGAAGAATGTTGGCAGACCGAGGGTTTACAGAGTCAGAGTTCGGTAGTCGGAAGGAGTTAAGGTTTCAGTGAAGGCAAGCGTTTTGAAGTTTGGAAAGATTGGAGAGGAGAAGAGCTTTACAATGACGATGACTGGAGCTTTGGCAGAGGGTCAAATTAGTTACGGCACGCTCATTTGGACCGACAACAAGAACTTTGTTAGGAGTCCAATTGAGGTTTTTTCGGGCCTTTTCTGAACCCATTATGTTAGGAGGGGTTAATAAAAATTTAAATAAACAACCCGAACCAACCTAACCTAATAGGATCCCACATTAAAAAAAAAAAAAAAGAAAAAAAAATTATTGGGCCATTATCATATTTTGGGCCAGAATCTGTCCATTTCCGATTCATCCCCAAATTGGAAGCTGAAGCCCATCCAGATTTATTACTGTTTCTGCTTCCGCTTCTTCAATGTCTTCCGTTTCGAACGAATCACGATTCCCATTCACTGCTCCTTTGCTGTTCCCATTATCCCACCACGGTGATGAGCGTTGACGAAGCTGTTCTTCCTCCTCCTCCTGATTTGCAACCCTAGCTCTCGTTTCAGGTATTTCAATTCCTTCTTACGCTTCAACTTCTTGCACTTTTCTTCCTTTTCAGCCTTCACTTGCCACGCCCTTCTGTTTTCCTTTTCTGATCACTGGAAATTCAATTCAATTTACCACGGAGTTGCCCATTGCCGTTCATCGCCGTTCTCTTCCTCTCCATTCCCACTGTGTTCCTTCTCAGATTCGAGCTTCAGCGCTCAACTCCTCCAAATCTAGACCCATCACGTCGGTTCCCTTCCGAAACGCTTCACTCTCATTTCTCAACGCGTCACCACTTCTAAGATTGGAGTTATCCGTTGTTTTAGTTTTCTTTTTTATAATTATTATTATAATTTTTTATTTATTGTTTTGTGACTCTTGCTTTCTGTGAGTCTGGCTTTCGGTTGATGTTGGGAAAGATGATTGTTGGTTTGAATTTGCTATTTGATTTATGGGAATATGGTTGTTCTTCCTTTGATTTTGTGCTCGATTCTGAGTGTGAACTCACCTTTGTTGATTGTGCTGTTCTAGTCCAACCTTATTGTGATTTACAGGTTTGGTGCCATTCTCAGGATTTTTTTTTTTCTTTCTTTTCCTGTGTCTCATATATTCTTGAATTCTATTTCTCCGTTTTAGATAGGGCAGAGTTGTATCTTTAGGTGGAATTTGACATCCTGAAGGATATAAATTTTAGAAGGTATTTTTAAGCTAGTATGGTTCTGTCGAATTCTGTGGGGCTTGGAGGATAGCTTTTATTCAAAGGAATACTTGAGGATTATCTTTGTAAGACTGGTTTAGTTGGTGATTTAGCTTGTCGGGAAATCAAAATGTCTAGCAAGATTTGCTAGAGATATTTCTACCTAATTTGAAGTCAACCACCTGGACTATCTTCTATTAAGGTTTAGTTCGTTTAGAAACATTGTTGAGCGAACCAAAAATCTTAGTTCATTGGAGCCTAAGATTATTATTCATATCGAGAACTCTTGCAAAGAAAACGTCTTAGCTGGGAATATTGGAGATGGTAGTGGTCCAACCAAGATGACTATTGAATCAGTGCTTGAAATTGAATGGGAGAGATTACTTGAACCTTTCGATCTCACAAAGCTTAGGAACTCCCGCATTCTAATTGCCCCCTGTTCAACTTTGTACATTGCTTGAGCTTCCACTTGTGTTGTTCCCACATTGTTGGAAATATTTCAATGGGTGAGTAACCGGAAGGGCTATTGCCAAACATTTGATGTATACTATGTGTTTATAAATAAGCTTGGGACAATTGGGGAGCTCAAGGTTATAAATAAACTATTAAAGCAGATGAAAGAAGAAGGGATTGCTTTTTGAGAGTCCATTTTCATGATAATTACGAAACATTATGGGAAAGTTGGACAACCTGGACAAGCAGTTAGATTGCTCCTAGATACGAGGGATGTCTATTTATGTGCACCAACTTTCACATCTTATGAGTAGTTTTGGAAGTACTTATGACTTGTAATTGTCCACAAGTTGCCACCAATATTTTCTATGTCATGTTGAGTAAGGGTGTCCCTCCCACTGTATTTCTTTTGGCATTGTGATGAAAGCTCTTTGTATGGTTAATGAGGTTGACTCTGCATGCTCACTGCTTAGAGACACAACAAAGTATGGATGTGTACCCTATTCTATAGTTATAATACATGCACCTTCCGAAAAAAACCATGCTAATGAAGTCTTAAAGTTTTTCGAGGAAATGTTTGTTATGGGATGCATGCATGATGTTTAAACCTTCAATGATATTATTCATGGCCTCATGTGCTTTTAAGGAGGGCTGCATTCTGCACTCACATTTGTTAATGATATGTTGTTCAGAGGATGCACCATTGATAAGATTACTTACAATGGTCTGATAAAAGTATTTTGCAATGCTGGAAATGATGAAAAAGGATTGGAGTTATATGAACAAATGATAATGAATGGGCTTAGTGCTGATACTATATCGTGTAATATTCTGAACAACAGGGTCGGTAAAGTTGGAAAAGTGGACAACACATTTGAGTTTCTAAGACTTGATTAATCGAGGTTTTATGCCTGACATAGTCACTTATAACAGTGTTTTAAATGGACTTTGCAAGGTTGGATGTATCAAGAAAGCTTTTAAATGTATTTGATAAATTACAAGTTTAAGGTGTTTGCACCGTTTTTTTTACCTCTAACGCTTTTATCAGTTGGCACCGTAAAGAAGGCATGGTAAATGATGCTTGTTTATATCTATAGAGGTGTAGAGAATGATTCTGTACCTAGTAATGTGACTTGGAACGTGCTGGTCTATACTTCGGTAAAACAAAGTAACAATGAGAATTGTTTTTCCATGTCCAATGAGTTATGGTGATAAGACGTACTAGTGAAATAATTGTTCGTGTTAGATATTATTATGGTGGTAAAATGTACTAGTGAATTTGTTTTCTGAGACACTTCAGTTTCTTCTTGTGATTCACACGTTTGGCAGAAAGTTTAAGAATGCTAGTAATTTAGCGAATTGCTGGCACCCTTAGAAACAGAACCATAAGGCTAAGACAATTTTCACTTGATTAATTAAGTTTTATGCATATTTATGCCTCATTCAAATAGGCGTGACTTGGCTTGATTGGAGTTTCTTACTTCACTGTTTGCTCATGTATTGGTTCATTTCAGTATATTATGGTTTGATAAGCAAATTTCTCTGTCACTTGGTATGATAACTTTTGTTTACCTTCTTTTTTTAATGCAAGAAATAACTAAAACTTTTCATTAAGACAATGAAAATGTTAGAAAAGAAGGGAAAAAAAAAAAAGAAGATGTTGTACACAAAGCTCTTCTGGTTCACACAAAGATTAGATTTGCACCTAGAGCACCAATCATAATATATCTGCATGATCTAGAAGAGGATTTACGACATAGATTCTTTTATTGAGTTTCACCATAATAAAAAGAATAAAAGAAAAAAAAAAGAAAAAAAGAGAAAAAAGATCTTATTGATTACAAGATCTTCCCCCCTTTTAAAAAGATGACATCTGAGAACATAAGTTATGTGGGTGAGGCTATTAATTGGAAGAGCTGTTTGAATGGAAAGGGGGATTCGTTTCTCATATTTTTCCATCTAAAACAAGCATGTAGGGGAAAAAACTTTGATAATATGATTGTGTTTAGTTCTCTTCTTTGCGCACGGAATATGGGTCGATCTTATCATGCCTATTAATTCTTCATGAAAGCTCCTGAAAAAACTGACTTTATTCGGTTAATAACAATGCCACGTGAGTTGTGTAAATTAATATCTGAGATCTGGTTGAAAAGAGACTCCAATTGTCACATGTGACATGTGGCAACGGTAGCTACTCTTTTGATTTTTTTTTTGAGCTTTTGTGTATATGGCAATGTTTCACTTGAGCAAGTCATTCTTTGCCAATGTGATAATGTGATAATCCTTTGTTGTTCCGTCTCTCTGAAACCACTTTCCATGTTGATATTCATTATCAAGAGCCAGTTAGAGAGAGTGGCTTGCTTTAACTTAGAGAGAGCAGCTTGCTTCAACTTAGACAACAGAATATAGTTCAATTGATGATAATTATAAGTCTTGTTCTATCTATATTGGATGATATTTCTTATTTTTTGAGTTCATATTGTTTTAATGGATGATAAAATTGGGATGGTTGTCCATTGGCCGTGTGCAAAACATATCATCATTATTGAATTCGATCATGCTTGGCTAGTATCATCTTGTATATTTTGGTCTATTGGATGATTTGCAGTATATTTAATATCTTATTTCAAATTATTATGATGCAGTTACTCATCTGTCCTGGAAAATTGGATTATGGATACAACTGCTTAATAATAGCATATCATAATGTTGGTTATTGAGGCATTACTGTTTCTGTGTCGATATGTTTGTGTAAATGATTATTTTGACAATTAGCATCATCATCATCATTCTTATTATAACGCCTTTCATTATGTATTACTATTTGATATAAAAGTACAGAGTTGTAATTTGCTTCCATTAAAATGTTGCAACATTTTACTGTGCTTGCATACTGTCTTCTCACGGCATGTTCTTCTGAAAAAAATAGCATCATTCATCCCAATTATTTCCTCCGTAATGTTTTTAGAATTTTGGTTAATTATACTTTTTCTTACATAAATTTCTTTGTACATTTGTTTTCGTTCTTGGAATGGCCAGGCTGGGTTCAATATTGTGAAAGCTCCTGAATTCTTTACTTGATCTATTGAAGCTAACGCGGATTGGCACAAGATTACATTCTATTGCCCTTGTTTTTGCTTCTCTCTTCATCAGCTATTAGCTTCAGAACATAGGTACTCTCAGATTCTTTCCTTAATCCGTCAAGTGAGCACTCACAAAATCTCTCTGGCGTATTTTATGCCTTCTCTTCCTTCCAAGTTTCCTTTGTCTCACTATATTTTTTAATTCTATTTTTTTGATTGTGAATAGGCAATAGTTGCATCCTTAGGTGGAATTTGGGTTTCTGAAGGACCCAGAGTTCGGAAGGTATTTTGAAAGTATTATGGTTTTATAGAGTTCTGTGAGGCTTGGGCGATGGAGGAAAAAACTGAGGAGGAAAAAACTGAGGATTATCTTTTCAAGATTGTTTTAGTTGGTGATTCAGCCGTGGGAAAATCGAATCTACTCGCTAGATTTGCTAGAGATGAATTTTACCCTAATTCAAAATCAACTATTGGAGTGGAGTTCCAAACCCAAAAGATGGAAATAAATGGAAAGGAAATCAAAGCTCAAATATGGGATACAGCTGGTCAAGAGCGATTTAGGGCTGTTACATCTGCATATTATAGAGGAGCTGTTGGAGCTCTCCTGGTATACGACATTAGTAGGCGCCAGACCTTTGACAGCATTGGGAGATGGCTGAATGAACTTCACAGTGAGTATTATAAAGATGCTATCTAATGTTTCTTGAAAATAAAATCTCCAATCTTACGTTGTTATACCTTTTTATTTGATTATGCTTCAAGTTATTGGACTGGTTGACTTCTCATTATTCTATCTGACTGTATTACCATATCTTTTTTGTGAATATTTGGACATCATTTTATGTTGAAAAAAAAATTATGTAACAGCGATTTCCTTTCTGGAAATGGTAGAATATTCTTTAAGTAATGAAAGATTATAAGTTGGAATGTCCTCAAGAGCTGCATCTGAATTAGAAATAGTTGTAATTACATGGTCATAGTGTTGAATCAACGCTGGAAAAGGGTGAAGCAATTGGTTTTGATGTTGGGAACTTTGCGTTGTGTTTATAATCTGAAAGGACTGATTGGGGAATCTTTTATTGAACAGCTCATTCTGACATGAACGTAGTAACCATACTGGTTGGCAACAAGTCTGATCTGAAGGATGCTAGAGATGTATCTACATCTGAAGGCAAGTCTTTGGCAGAAGCTCAGGGTCTGTTCTTTATTGAAACCTCCGCCCTCGATTCCTCGAATGTGACGAACGCGTTTCAGACGGTTGTGAAAGAGATCTACAACATATTGAGCCGAAAAGTTATGATATCTCAAGAACTTAACAAGCAGGATGTTAGCTGGATGGAGGATGGAAAGACGACTGTAGTTATACAGGGAGAGGAGGAGCAAGTAGTTGAAGAGCCCAAACAAGGTGGTGGGTGCTGCTGATCCCAAGTAATTTACTTATATAATATTGGAATCCCTTCTCTCATTTATTCTCTGCTCATTATATAGTATCATCTTCTTCTTCTCCATCTGGTTGAATTTTCTTCAGTCACTGAATCTGCTTTCCATTTCTTTCTTCTTCTTCTTCTTCTGCAATTCTGGGTAACATTGATTTGATGATGTGTACTCGCATGACTGATGGATTACAGAAACATGGGGCGGAATTGAAAAGTGTAAATGTGACCTGGAAGGGTTTAATTTTCAAAAGTAATCTTGAATCATTCATGTTTATTATATTGAGTTCATTATTATGAAACATTTATCATATATGCTTTTCTCTGTAAATGATATTCATTATAGTTCTTAAATTGATATGGTTTGCTAAACGGATCAGGTCTTCCAATGAACATCCTACTGTTCTTGTCGAGTTGATACTCAAAAAATAATGGAATGCATACCTGTGAGTGTACAGCTTAGATTGACTTACATTTAGGGTTTTTTTTTCTTTTCTTTCTTTTTTAATGAATCAGGGCTTGTTTGATAGACAATCTAGATTATGTTTTATGTTTTTGGTTTCATGGGTAAATTATGGGTTTTTTTTTTTTTTTTTTTTTTTTAGTAAATTAGGGTTTGTCTGATGTTCAATCTAGATTTTGTTTTATGTTTTGTGTTTCATTGGGTTGGTAAGTGTATTTTTTGAAATTTATTTTCAGATTTTATTATCCAAATGGTGAGAATTTTGAACATATTTATGCCTTTTTTGTTGTATCCAAATTTTAAATTTTAAAATGTAGATTTATATTTAAAAAAAATAAAAACTTTGATAATATAGTATTTCAAGTGAAAAAGATTAATTTATTCTCATTATAATATATATTATAATTATATGATATCAAAAAATAATAATCAAACAATTTTTATAAACTAATCAATAACGTTTTATATTCGAAATAGTATTATGTAGTTAACTCTAGTTCTGTGATTTATAAATATATTATATGAAATTCATCTATAAATGTTTAAATTGAATTCTAATGTACAAATTGTCTACCATTTTCTGCTCAACTTTAACTTAAATAATATTTCTATTTGTATCTAATATTTGACTATAAAATAATAAATAAAAATGGCAATTTGCGCATATATAAAATTTTTTAGATTTGATCTAATAAATTATCCAATAATCCTGAAAACGATAAGTAAGATGGATTATCTTTATAATCAAACTCGTGATTCGAATAATTCCAAGAAGTTTGATCAACACTACTTAAATAATACTCAACCAATTGAAATAGAGATCTTATTTTTTTCAATTAAAAAACTATTTGAGTTAAATTTTTCATAATCTCCATATTAAAATGATTAGTTAACACGAGAATATGACAACTAAGTTATAATATAACTTTAACTTTCATATTAAAACTAGTTTAAATGATGAACAAGAATTGGAGTTACCATTCAAATAATGCAATAAAAAAAAGTGTCATATAGTAATCATTAATGGACTAAGTTTCGTAAATTCAACTATAAATTTATTAAATGTAAGTTAAAATGCATTTCACGTATCTCAGTGTTAAAGTTCAATTTTGCACAACATAAAATACAATCTCACCATAACGTAAATACAAGTGATTGAAGTTTATGGACTTTTTGGCTCTCGTTTCTATAATTGGACTATGAGGTATGAACATTCCTTACTCTTGGATTTGATGGTGATTTTACATTGGTTGTCCGTGAATTATAACTATAGTCACCTTAGAGTGATGACAATGATTTGACATTAATTGCATGTTCATTATTTCATAATAAATACCATAGTCACCTTGAGGTGGATGATAACGATTTGACAATATTTGCACGTTGGTTATTTCGTAATAACCACCATAGTCACCGTACGATATTAATAACGATTTGACGGTGATTGCAAATGAGTTATTTTGTAATTAGTCGTAGTCACCTTTAGGATGATGATAACAATTTGGTGACAGTGATTTGACAATATTTGCACGTTGGTTATTTCACAATTTTTGGTTTTTCTGTAATTACCACCATAGTCACTTTAGGGTAATGAAAATAATTTTTTTTGGAAATGTTCCGTACAATCATTTATTTATTTATATACTCTTATTACAAATGTTTTTAAAATTCTAATCAAATTTTAAATATGACATATATATATATATATACATACATATACTAAGATTTCAAAAATAAAAAATAATTTTAAGATCAAAATTGAATATCACCGAAAGAAACGTAATTCCTCTCTAAAAAAAAAGTAGATAAGAATGAGTGGTAAGAAATAGAACGAGATTTTGTTGTCGAACAAGATAAGATACGATAAAGAAAGACATAATTCGAAGGTAGGAGAGACGGTAAAGATAAAAAGGAGACGAAAAAAGGAGGTAAATTTACAACAACAAAGAAGAATGTGGAATCTGGATAATATCACACCACTAAATCAACCTCAGTTTTCATACAATCAGATGAGAATGACTATTAATAACAATAAAAGATGAAACAACAAGAAAGGCTGCCTGATGAGTAGTAGTATAGCAACTTTCCCAGAAAAACGAAGAACCCGAAAAGAAGAAGAAGAAGAGGAAGAAGAAGAAGAAGGACGTTGATTCGTTCGTGTGACATCGTTTGTCGGAGTAGGCGTAATATGCAACAGTTGAGCATATATAAGCTTACCCACAATCCAATTATACATATCAATCAAATTACAAGCAAGAAAGAAGAAGAAAGAAGAAGAAAAGACCTATATTTTGAAGCTCAATCCTGAGGAAGAGAAAAGCCTGTGGAACCTGCCTGCCTGCTTGCTTCTCTTATGGGACAGTTTGTCAAAACACAAAACAATTAGCTCTGACAGAGTATCAAATGGGAGGAGTGTATCACAATGACGATACGAAAATTATACGAAAATCGCAGTACAACCTGCCTGCTTTTTTACCGAATACGCTTCACCTACTATTACTTTTTGACATCTGTTGCTTGTATCATCTTCTTCCTAAGCAGCAATTCCTGAATCATCAATCAAACATTTTACCAATCAGCTTTTGTTCCACCTCTGTTCGAGATTTCTAACCGAATAATTGAGTCTAGTTGGGAGAAGATCACGAGCTTTAATGATTTCAAGTTCCCCAAAAGTTTAGGAATGGGTTTAGTTCACATCGGTTGGAGAGGAGAATGAAGCATTCTTTATAAGGGTGTGGAAACCTCTCCCTAATAGACACGTTTTAAAAACCTTGAGAGGAAGTCTGGAAGGGAAAGTCCAAAGAGGACAATATCTACTAGTGGTGGGCTTGGATTGTTACAAATGATATCAGAGCTAGACATCGGGCGATGTGCCAGTGAGGTGGCTCAGCCCGAAAGGGGGGTGGTGTGGCAGCAAGGACGCTAGACCCTGAAGGAGGGTGGATTGAGGGGTCCCACATCGGTTGGTGAAGGGAACGAGTGCCAGCGAGGACGTTGGACCCCGAAGGGGGAGGGGGGTGGGTTGCGAGATCCCACATCGATTGGGGAAGAGAACGACATATTCTCTATAAGGGTATGGAAACCTCTGCCTAGCAGACTCGTTTTAAAAACCTTAAGGGAAAGCCCAAAGAGGACAATAACTACTAACAGTGAGCTAACTTGCATTAAAAAGCTTAAGGAATAGGGACTACGAACAACCTCTTAGAAACTATGATCGGATAGCTAGAAAAGGCAAACGTTATCCGGTCGTAGAAAGCATCCTTTACTAGTCTAACATTTAGGAGGAAAGAACATTAGGAATCCACAAAAACAAGATCATTCATCATAAAGCTAGAAAAAGGAAAGACTCACCTCTATTAGATTGTCTATTAGAAACACCATATCCGACAGTATAACCACCATTGTTTCTACTAATAACATCCGAAGCTGCATTCCCAAGCCCGAAACCAACCGACGAAGAATCCTCGAGTTCGGTCGGTAACAACTGCCAACTGGAATGCCCATAAAATGAGTTTCCTTCATCATTGTTCCCATGAACCTCATCATATATATTTGGTGCAGAGTACAAAGATGCTGAGGAAACATTAGTTCCAACGCTTCTAGCATAACCTACAGTCGTTCCCGACGTTAAGCTGCCATCGCCGCTCGCAAAGTCGAGATTAACAGCATTGAATGGAGAACCAGAATGTTCCCCATGAACTAGGCTTGCAGAAGCACCCCAAAGCCCTCCGATACCGTTCAACGAATTAGTTCCTGTATGCACACCACCAGAGCCAGGAAAAGTCCTCAAGTGTGACGAGTTTGTACCAACAGAGTTCCCGACGTTTCCCCACAGATTCTGAACCGACGAGCTTAAAATCGAACCATTACCTCCATTGCCACCACCATACACCATGGGGTTCGGGCTACCATACCTATTCAAATTTCCACCATACGAGGGGCTCATTACTCGTCCATAGCTAAGGTTAGAGCCAACATTGAGACCTGTCCCATAGTTCGGGTTCAACCCTGTATCGAGATTTAGCCCGATTCCATAACCAGGACTGATCGGAGAAAGTCCACCCCGACCAACTGTAACAGGACTAAACCTATCATCAGATCTCAATCCATATGCCCCAACCGAGGTCGGGTTATATCCTTGATTATAGCCATTTAAATAGCTACCAACTCTACCAAAACCATAAGGGTATGCACCTAATTGACTTCGGTTTGGCACTGGTGATGATTCCTTTGGAACAGCCCTCTTAACCTCAACCATTTTACCATTGAGTTCATGAAAAGTTTTGTATAAAACTTTCTCCACCGATTCCTCCGACTCGTAAGTGATAAATCCGAAACCTCTCGGTCTCTGAGTATTATGATCGTACATCACCACGACGTCTGTGATTGTTCCAAACTGATCAAAATACGTTTTGAAGTCACTCTCCGTAACAGTTGATGCCAAACCTCCTACGAATATCTTTTTCGTGCGAGTAGGACCTGGTGACCCGAGGATACCGGTATTGTTCCTGCTCAAAACGTTTTGATCGTCTCGAGGAACAGCCTTCTTTGCTTCAACCTGAAAAAAAAATAAACATCTAAACATGAAAATGATAGAGTTTACTCTCATTACCGATGCAAATAGAAGTCGAGATGCAACGGAACATATCATTGTAATACAAGTGGTGATCATCACACATAAATCCTAGTGTCCGTGCATACACGAACTTTATAAGATAACAATTGGCATAGCTTTAGGATCTATCTACCGCATTCTTTATGTAACAGCCCAAGTCCACCGCTAGCAGATATTGTTCTCTTTGGGCTTTCCCTTTCGGGCTTCCCCTCAAGGTTTCCACACCCTTATAAAGAATGTTTCGTTCTTCTCCTCAACCGATGTGGGATCTCACAATCCACCCCCCCTTCGGAGCCCAACATCCTTGCTGGCACGTTGTCCGGTGTCTGGCTCTGATACCAACTGTAACAGCCCAACTCCACTGTTAGCAGATATTGTCCTCTTTGGGCTTTCCCTCAAGGTTTTTAAAACGTGTCTGCTAGAGAGAGGTTTTCACACCTTTATAAAGAATGTTTCATTCTCCTCCCCAACCAATACGAGATCTCACACTTCAAATATTCAAACTTTCTAACAAAACCATGGAGCAAACTCTTAAACGTTATTTTTCGCGTTATATAAGCAATTGATTCTAAGCGAACCCATTAACATTCCGAGCACATACATAGGCATCATACTTCCACAAAAACTGAAGAATTGTAATAAGTTCGAATCACGATGAACACCAAAGAACATCTGGAAAACCTTAATCCTTCCACGAGCATATCAACAAGCAAAATCAAATCAGAACACAAACTCGAACAAGCCATGAACGACATCTAAAGCTTCCAATACAAATGGGAAAGATCAATGAAATCAAGAACAATAGACAAGACTTACAGTTCTTCCATCAATCACATGCTTTTCCAATACAACTCTTGCTGCAACAACAGGGTCAGCAAAGACAACGAAACCAAAGCCACGAGCACGGCCAGTGGTCCGATCCCTCATGATCATCACCTCCACCACTTCCCCAAAGCTCTGAAAATACTCTCGAAGACGATCTTCATCCGTGTCCCACGAAATCCCACCAATGAAAAGCTTGCCAGGATCCATGCCCACTCTACAAATCCATTCCAACCAACCCCATCAATATCATTCAACAATTCAAACACATACACCACACAAACAATCAGGTATCTTAAAGTCTAACCCCTTCGCCTTGAGAAGAACAAGCACAAAACCGATCAATCCTAAAAAAGCTACAGAAAACATGGATTCGATGAAACAGGAAGCATTCATTTCAGAAACATCATCACAATGCAAGCTAAATCAAACAGATAGAATCAATAACAAATTCATCATCAAAACAGAAAAATGCTATCAATGTTAGATACAAAATGATAGCAATCAGATTCGATCTCATATCATCGGAGCATCCATCGATCAACAAAAACCGATCGATCTACAAATCATGAATCTAGCCACAAAAAGGTGAAATGACCCTCTTCCAAGAAAAGGGTAAAAACAGCATCGAAACGAGTTTTGATTCAAAACCCATAAAAGTATTGAAGAAACAAAAGATTTGCAGAAAATCAAAGAAGAAACAAAAACTTACCCAAATCAAAACGACCCAGAATCTAAGATCTAAGAGAGGGCATAATAAGAAGAGAGGGCGAGAGGCCCTCCTTTTTTGCTATCTCTTTCCTTGTTCTAAGTTACTGTTTTCGTTTTTGTTTTAGATAAATATGCAATACCCAAATAAACAAAGGAAGGCTATATATGAAACAGCGAGGAGGCAGATATTTGTGTAAGAAAATGGAATTTGCATCTGAAATGGGCGCAATCTATATATATATACATATAATTATATATGTATAGGTAGAGAGAGAAAGAGAAGAAAAGAAAGGCTTGGCTGTCTTGCGCGTTCCCTTCTTACAAAGAACGGACGATAGAATGGATTAAAATGGGCCAAACTCTTAGGCTCAAACATCAAAATTTATGAAAAACATTCCAAAAGGATGCAAATTTAGCCCATTTTTTACCTTTTCTTTTTCTGGGTATTTAAGATTCAAGCTATTTTGTAAGAAAAAAGACAAGTTTAAGAACAAGAAAAATCAAATGCAACCATTATTGATTTTTCTCCATGGAATTAGTCAATGTGAAGCTTAGAAATCAATTTTTTATGATTAAAAAAAAACATCCTCTGCAGCTAAATTACTTCCTGTGGAGGCAAGGAATGAGGCATTTAGGCTAAACTTGGTTGTTGACATTTGGATCTTCAATTGTTTAAGGGACCTTTCAATTAGTTGTCATCATAATTAAATAAATAAATATTATGAAAGTAAGGTAAATTTGGATGGGGGATGTGTTTAATAATAATAATAAATAAATAAATAAATAAATAAATAAATAAATAAATAAATAACTGGATGAGTTTTTTAGTATAATAATACGAAGAAAAAAAGAGAAAAAAGAAAAGGTGGGGCAGATGTGGTAAAGACAGAGATTGCTTGTCCTTCCACACATTCTTAGGGAAATGCAATAAACGCTATTTTAATCGGTTGAGTTATGATAAAAAAAAAATGCAAAATTAGTAAGAATATGCTTAAATTTAAAAAATATTTTAGTATCTTTCAGAGTGTTTGTTGATCAATATACTGATACCATTTGTCACAATTGTACTTTGATGGCAGTGGACTTGCGATTGTGTGACACTCACTTTCTAGCAATAAGCGAATTAAGTTTATTCATTCTTGCGTCGCATACGGCCAAGCAACGTATGCTTGAGCCTTTAACCCCGGTTCAAGAAGAAAGGTTTAGAAAACGGGGGCAGAGAGATTTCAAAAGAGAGTTTTTTAAAGGAAGATTTAAGAAATTGAAATTGGTGTTATATGAGAATGTAAGCAAAAGACAATGACCGCTTACTGCATATAACTATCGGGTGGAGAGGAATTGATTATTAAATAAAAATTATTTCAATTGAAAAAAATTACAACCAGTTAGATTAATTTTTACTTTTTCTTAAAGTTGACTTCTGTAGCTAATTAATTAATAGGGTAAAAGGAATTTTGAAAAAAAAAAACGAATAAATTTATCTTTTTATATTTTAAGTTCCAACTAATTATTCAATTTTGATTATTAAATACAATGGTTTTTTGCTCGACTTTGTAGAATGACAAATTCTATACATATTTTCAACAAGTCCAAGCTTTTTTTAAAAAATGAACAAATACGTCAAATTCTAGCATTTTTCTAAAAATATTTGTCCCTCCTCCTTTAATCTAGACTCGAGCAACTCTGAGCTTTTCTATGGTCAAATTCCAACATTTTTGTAAAAATACTCATTCATCCTCCCTTAATCTAGACTCGAGCAATGGTTAAGGGTCCTTCATTCCTTCGAGGTTGGAAGTTCAAACACCCCACCCTCCACATATTCGTGTACTTTAAAAAAAGATACGAACTTTATACAGAGCGTCAACTGTTAAAAATCACATGGATCTCCACAATGGTATGAGATATTGTCCACTTTGAGCATAAACTCTCATTGCTTTACTTTGGGCTTCCCCAAAAGGCCGTCATGATCTTCCACTAAATTAGCCAACGTGGGACTCTCTCTCAATAATAATCCTCAACATCGGCCATTCCCCAAATAACACACAAAACGTGAAAAATTAGGATATATAATCAATGAAGCAAGCCCTCAATCCCTCTATTAGAAAGAAGAAATCCAAGTGCAAGAGTAAGATTTCTTCAACACTGTCCGACAGGATTTAGTAGAGAGAAACAGAAACAGGAGATGATAGGATGATATATATAGCTGCAACAAGTATACTCTACAACATGCATTAGCATGCCGTCCAATGAAACTAAGCACAACATAGCTACAGAACATTCAAAGCATCAACAACAGTATCCAATTTGAACTTTACAAATTACATTAAATGAAATGAGAAACAGTTGAACCTTCGTTCTCTTTCAAAGAACAGGCCATAGATGATAGAGAATGAAAGCAGGCAAAGCAAGAAAAGGAAAACAGAGCAACAATTTTGCTTGTGCTCTCTTAGGAATTGATGAACCTCAAAGGCTCAAACAAACAAATCTCATAGTCATCACCAGATAGCCAGGCAACTTTTGCTAATAATAATCTTCCCTCCTAATTCCTCCCAAGTAGTTGTGACAACATCCCGGGAGGAGATCAAAGCAATTCTTTATAAGGGCGTGGAAACCTCTCCCTAGAAGAGGCGCTTTAAAAACTTTGAGGGGAAGCCCGAAAGGTAAATTCTAAAGAGGACAATATCTGCTAGTGGTGTGATTGGGTCATTACGATAGTTGTGTTAACTACAAAGAATCTGATATCAATGATCTACCACAGCGACATCGGAACGGGCAAAATCTGCCTATTACTATGAAATACATTACCATCTGTGGATGACAACCAGCTCAGAACAAACAAGACTGCTTGAAGGATGAGATGCAAGCACAAAAGATCACATAAAAAAAACTATACAAGCACATAATAAAAGTTTTTCAAGTTCATTGGCAGTATCATAAAGAACATTTTTCTCCATCTAAGAGCTACTATTTTCTATTAGATGCTGAAACTCTTGAGGAAATCAACACGAGTTATAACAATGTGACACAAAATTAAGTCTATCGAGACCTCTTCAATAAAAGGTCTACCAATACCCCTTAATGGAGCACCATTGTAATTGATCAAAAACAAAGAAATCGTGTAAAATCTTCAGAAAAAAGTGAAGATTCAATTTGCTTATTGACACAACCTGATTGCAAGTTTAATAAGGTGAACATCGTAACAGTGTCCACAAATGGAACTTAAATTTCAGAAGAAGAAAGCAAAAAAAGGAAAAGAAAGAACACGAAAACGCGCAATCTTATTTCTTATAACGAGCTACCTCGCCTTCATTGGGGAAGAATCCCATAATCCGACCCGCCGAGTTCTGATAAGCATACATGAAGCCTCCCATCAGCCCAATTAGACCACCGGTGACCATTGACGGACCCCTAATTCCGGGCTTAATCCCTAAAACGCAAAGACAGGAGAACAGATTTCCAGACGAGCAACGAAACGGAATAGGAGAAAAGAAGAGAAGTAAGAGAGAGAGAGATTGGTACCGGAAAGATAACCGACGGTGACGGAAACGCCGGTAATGGTGACGAAACGGAGGTAATCGAGAGTATCGAAATTACCAACGACTTTGGTAAATGGAGGATTCCGATCTATTACTGGATACTCTGGCTTAGTCGAAGCTGTAATGTCGGTGTTCATCACGTCTTCTCCGGTGCTGAAACTGACCTCCGCCGGCTCTCTCTCTCTCTCTCTCGCTGTGCGACTCTGTAATAATTCGCCTGCCGACTCGCTGCCGTCTGAGACGAAATGAACGCAAGTGATTGGTGAGTGATAAACGGGCATTTCATGGGCTGGGCCCAAAATAGTTGGATCAGCCATAGCCCAGGCCATCGTACAAAATGGGCCACTCTCATTCGGATATTGTATTGGTTCATTCATGTACCCCTTCGTTACTCGAGTGCCACATGCCCACTAGCTTCCACTTTGGTTCGTCTCCGAACCACATCTTACAGGGAGAGACACTACTCTGATACCATTTGTAATGATTAAGGGAAACACTCGAGGTAACGAACCTTCCTATTGAAACTAAATCGTTTTATTTTTATATGTTTGGGATCGCATATGTGCGTATTATGATTTTTTTAATGTAGTGAATGTGGTAAGGGTTACCCGTTGTGTATCGGGTAACTAACCACCCATGGTCACTTGAGATGATTGTTGAAAATTATTTTCGTGGTGAGGGTTACACGTTGTGTGTATTGGGTAGCCAACTACTAATAGTCACTGAGAAGTGATTACTGAAAATGATTTTTGGTGAGTAGATTACGCGCGGTGTGTTTTGAGCAATCAACCATTAGGGTCCCTCGATTTTTATTGGTGAACTATATGATGGTTTTCATATCTGACTACACTAGGAGATGTCGAATCGTCGGTCACGGGACAAATGAGGGATTTTTTTTTCATGTTTTTCTTTTTTATTAAAGACGTAGTTCAATTTACAAAGTACTAATTATTATTTCAAAAGTCGATAGCTCAATCTCAAACCCAGTATTTATTAAACGAAAGGGTCGGATACTTTAAAACACGCTCGTTCGTTCATTCCAACAAACTATATTTTAAAGATATAACCCTTAAGTTAATTATTATGATTATCGTAAGCATTACCATAATCAAGGACCTTATCAATCCCATGACACTTAATACCCTCGGAACTAGAACAAACATTAGGAACAGTGACAGCAGCATTATTGACAAGAAAATGGCCTCTTCCATGGTTATGGATTCTGATCATCCTATTACGATAACCCGAAGGAACGATGGAGCCAGTGGGAAATCGAATCAAATCACTGAATTGCAGCGGCATGACAATCGAATGGCTGAGGACGAACGACTCGAGACGGTCGGTCGGTATGGAGATGTTCGAGAGCTGAGGGTCGAGGGGGATGAAGAAGGTGATGTCTCTTAGGGTCAGTTGGGTGGTGGCGTTGAGCATTTGGAGAAGGATGGCAAAGCCATAGAAGGATTGGGCCCTCATGTCTCCAACGGCAGCTAGGAGATTCGTGTGGTTTAAGGTTTGGGACATTGTCGGGACAGCTGAAATGACACTAAAGAATAAGAGAGAAACAAGGACCAAATTTGTAGACATAATTATGTCTATTTTGAGGGTTTATGTGAGAGTTTGAAGCTGTTTTATAAAGGCCCTTTGCAATGTGTTTGGTGTGTTTTATTGTTGGAGATTAGGTTGCACACGAGAAAGACGTAGCGTTTTATTGAGTAGTCTTTTCGTTTTGGTTGTCGAATAAACTCTTTATTAGCTTTGGATGCGATTTTCGTGAACAAAAATTTATATTACATTTCATTCCGTTCATTTAACCTAGCTTGTGGCGTTCCAATAGTGAGTCCACTTACTTGTTGGCCTAACTTGAAGCTACTAAATTTTCTTAGTCGATGTTAGTTTTGATCCTGCTCGTCGAGATATAGTTCCACCTATGACGTTTTACGACATCATAATTTGACATAATTAAGAAAATGAACCTCGCCTAACTCTCCTAATTGGTTTTAAATGGCTTTAAATAAATTAGCTAAAAGGTAATCTTACTGACCTCAAACACTTCTAATTATGTATAAACGGCTTCGAAATTGTTTAAAATTGTAGAAGAGGGTTGAAAATAGCAAACGGGGTCGTTTAAGCTAAGGAAGTAACGGTTAATATATTATGTCAAGCATAGTAACGGTTAAATGTATTAATCTGCCAATCAACGGCCTGTATTTACTTGGATCATTCAACCTCTCCTTCTGTTAAAAAAAGTTTTAGATTTTGCTCTATAGGAAATTTTGCTGGACGTGCTCCTGTAAGACCTGTGTGTTGAAGAATGTCTAGAACATACTTCATTTGAGACATAAAAATTCCGTTTCTAGACCGAGAAAATTCAATGCCTAGAAAATATTTCAAATTCCCAAAATTTTTTATAAGGAATTTTTCGAGTAAACTAGTCTTGAGATATTGAATTTCTTTGAGATCATTGTCTGTCAACAAAATATCATCAACATAGATAAGAACAACAGTGAAAGAAGTACCCTTACTCCTAGTAAATAAAGCGTAATCTGCTTTGGATTGAGTGCAGCCAGCATTTTGTATAGCGGTAGAGAATATGGAGAACCAATTGCAAGAAGCCTGTTTTAATCCATAAATAGATTTATGGAGCCGACATACTGTATTCTCCCCGGCGAAGACCTGGTGGTAAAGACATATAGACTTTCTCGTTTAGATTACCATGGAGAGAGACATTTTGAACATCCAACTGATCAGTGAACCATTTTCGAGCAGCAACGAAGGGTAGAAAATGAGTGAAACATATAAAATTTAATTCAAAAAAAGGGTTCGGGATTTGGCAGAGGGAGATTACAAATATGCCCTCCATAAATTTAAGAGAGCTGGTAATAAAATCAAATGAACAAAAGAAACAAAATTTAGTACATTATAATCATAACATAACCTTATGTCATGCGAACGTGACCAATTGAGTCATTTTACCTACCGCATTGGCTGCCCCTCTACCACCGCCATATACAATAATCCATCTCAACTTTAATCATTTATATCATCCACTTTTCCAATAATACCCTTTTCCACTTTTATTTCTTTTTTAATAAAGTGGAAAATTAATTATATTTTTTATTTTTTATTTTTTATCTAATAACTTAATAAATTTTTAATTTTATATTTATTAAAATTTTATTTTATTTTTAATATTTTTAACAAAATTGAAAACTTGCTAAATATAAAATTTTTAAAAAATGTAAAATTATTTGTTCCGGTAAATTCTCCATTTATTTTACAAGGGAATTCACATGCATCAAAGTTACCAGAAAATTTATATCTCCCATGTGGTCCGCGTTTTCTCGGGACTAAAAAACTGCTCTTCTTTCAAGAAAAAAATCGGGCAAAATTAAAAAAATAATAATTTATTCTTCGATCATATTTAATTAAAAATCTTTTAACTTCTTATTTTAATTCTTATTTACTTGAAATTATTCATTTCCATTGATTATTACAATTATATATATTTTAAAAAATTAATATATAATTTTAAAAAATGTAAAACATTATAATTAATCCAATAATATTAATATAGTTTTTAAAAAATATTTATTTATTTTATATATATATTTTGGTACTGATTGGTTTTGATTAATGGTGAGAAGGCTCTGCTTCTCACTTCTGGGGAAATGGACATCACTATGGATTTCCGAAGACAAATGGGTCCTCCTAGTAGAGACCCATTGAATGCCTACGCAGATTGAGGTCAGACTCCATTAAAGGCAGCCTTTATTTTGCAGCATGAGGTGCGTTCTTCAGTAAAATCACCAACCAGCTTCTACATCTCTGTTTTCGACACCTGTCTAAAAATTGCTTGCTTTGCCAGATCTTCAATACATTTCCCACCACTAGATTTTTGCTAATTTGTAAACTATATTCTTGAATTTTACCCGTCGATGTCACTTATTTAATTGGCGCTGCTGATGAGTGCTTATATGAAGGGTGCCCTCGTGCATGCCCCACAAGTGTTTGATGAAATGTCTGACTGAAAAATTGAGGTTCTTTTTGTTGAATCCTTGCTTCTCTTTTCTGGATTTGGGTCTTGGGGTGGAGAAAATGAGCTATTCTGGCATTGGCATTAGCCCGGGGAATGTTCCTGTGTATCACAGCTCGAATTTGAAGGTTTTTGATAAAAGGGTGAGGGTGGTTGAGCTGGTCTTGAGGTTTTTGATATGTGGCCTTGGAGTTCTTGCTGCTGTACTTGTGGGAACTGATACTGAAGTTAAAGATATCTTTGCTATTCGAAAGAGGGCAAAATTTACAGACATGAAAGCTCTTGTGTAATCTCTTTGTCTCTCTGTCTCTCTCTCTCTCTGTTTTTTTGTTTCTGCTTGGTCGGATTTTGGTCCTACCTATTAACTACTACACTTTTGAGATGATATTGGTTGTGCCCATTTACAGTTACTGGTTCTTTTGTTTCTGTTCTTGGTTTTGTTTTGGTTTTACAAATTAAATTATCACTAGACTGAAAAGCTTTTACTTAAACAAGATTTGAATGATGGGTTGTGATATACATATTCTTATCACTCCTTTCACTTGTAGGCTAAAAATTGGTGCAGAATTCATTATAGAAGTTACCTCACGGCCTCTCTGACGCTATGATATTAATACAGGTTTTTGGTGGTAGCAAATGCTGTAGCTGCAGCTTACTCTTTGGTCCAAGGACTGCGATGTGCGGTGAGCATGGTGAGGGGAAATGTGCTATTCAGCAAGCCTTTGGCTTGGATCATTTTCTCTGGCGATCAGGTACATTTTCGACCTGGGAGATTCTGAGCTTCCTGATCCTTTTTGCCATTTTTACTGAATGAAGTAGATGACCATACGTATGTGTACAAGTTCTTTAGATGTTTGCCTAAGCCCGGTCCTTTTTGGACTTTCTCTTTCCTTTTCGGACTTCCTACTTTTAAAACTTGTCGGTTAGAGGAAGTTTCTACACTCTTATAAAAAATGTTTTGTTTTTTTCTCCAACTGATATGGGATCTTACACACAATCCGACCCATTCGGGGCCCAACGTTATCACTAGCACTCGTTCCCTTCTCCAATAAATGTGGGACCCCCCAATCCACCTCCTTCGTGGCCAGTGTCCTTGCTGGCACATCGCCTCGTGTCCACTCCTTTTTGAGGCTCGACCTCCTTACTAGCACGTCGCTCGATGTCTAGATCTGATACTATTTGTAACGGCCCAAGCCCACTATTAACAGATCTTGTCATCTTTGTATTTTTTTTTTCGAGTTTCTCCTTAAAGTTTTTAAAACGTTTCTACTAAGGTGAGGTTTCCACATCTTTATAAAGAATGTTTCTTCTCTCTTTCTGATGCCGATAATATCTGGTTTTGACCGTGAATGAATCGATTCATGGCTTGGGTTGGTATTGTCTGAGGATTCCATTACCATGGACTAAAGGGATAACCACTTGTTATATGACTGTGAAAACAATAAATGCGCAAGTTCCAAGTGAACTTCGGTTCTACCGACCTCCGTCCAAAAAATTTATGTGGTCTACAATAAATTTCCTTGTGCACTTCAATATCTGCTTATCTTCCTATCTTCCTTTTTGTCCTTGAAATTTTACGTATTGTATTTTCCTTTTGGATAAATCAGAATTCCTTTTTTTACTCCATATCCTTCAAGCTCATAGTCTTAAATTTTGTTTTCCAATGTAATCATTGTCTTAATACCTGGCCCAAATACTTACAACCAACCAATATTGTCGGACCCCACATTCATATTCATATTATACTTTGAGGTCCAGACAAAAAAAAAAAAAGTACATATTCTAAAATATAAAGTATGAAATAGACGGCGATATTTTTAAGTTAAATTATAAGTTTAGTCATAGAATATTTATGTTTATTTCTATTTAATTCTTGAACTCTCACTATAGTCTAAATTTAAAAGTGTATAATAGATTCTTAAACTTTCAGTTTTGTACACGATATATCACCTTATCAACATTTTTTAAGATTTATTAACTTGTCTCCTTTAGAGTTCTATTCAACGTAAAATTCAATTTCATATCTGATAAATCTGTTAATTTGATAAGGTTTCAAATAGTCAAGAAATTTGTTCGACAAAATTGAAAGTTCAAGACTTAAACTTTTTGAAGTTTAATGGTCTACTAGATACAAAATTGAAAATTTACCGATCTATTAGAGATTAGATTTGTAACCATCTAGGATGTTCGAATCTGACGAGTAGAGTTTTGTGCAGATCATGGCATACCTGACAGTGGCAGCAGTGGCATCGGCAGCCCAGTCAGCGGTGTTCGGGAAGCTGGGACAGCCGGAGTTGCAGTGGATGAAGACATGCAATCTGTACAAGAAGTTCTGCAACCAAGTTGGGGAGGGACTTGCAAGCGCGGTGGTGGTCAGCCTGAGCATGGTGGCGCTTTCTTGCATTTCAGCTTTCAGTCTCTTCCGCCTTTACAACGGTGGGAAGAGCAAGAACAGATCAGGATGGTAGGTAGGCCGTTAGAGTTCATGAATATAACCTTCAAATCTCCATAGCTCGATCCGGCACTCTGTTTCTGTGAGGAAATGCTCAGATTTTCTGTGATTCTAGTTAAAGAAATGTATGTTTAAGTATTTAATTCTCTTGAAAACCATGGTTCATCCTTCATAAATAAACTTTTAACTTCAGGAATAAATGCCTGTTCATCACAATTTTATCCTTGTGCTTCAAAGAGTGTAGGGATGAGGCTGATAAAAATGTGGGCTCAAAATCAAGAGTCTTCCCTTATCAGATTGGTTGCATTGAGAATCTTTTCTTTTCCAAGTGAAATCTCGCTTAGCACGTGATAAAGTGAAAAAGGATATTTCTAATGGAACCTATCGAGTAAGTAATAAATGATTTTTTTCGAAAGTAAAAATAATACATATCGGGCATAAAAAGACAAAAACTACCCTTAAATAACTATTAACAAATTTGTAAATTTAATAATCAATTTGTATTAGTTGACATGGGGTTTATTGGGAAAGAAAGTATAGAATTCATTGCAACATTAAAAGACTTAATAACAGCATTCAATATTGGTTATTGGTAACTGGATTCCTAGAATCCATCCATTGCACTTTGGGCAGTTGAGTAATCATTCAATCTGCGATTTGAGGTTAGGTCTACGATTTGAGGTTAGGTCGGTCAAATCAAAACATTAAAGGTTCGATCTAATAAGTAATCTATAAGCATCAATACAGTATAAGTATATCCAGAAGCCGATACCAATAACAGTTGAAAAAAATTCCAGATAATAGAAAAGTATATATCTTTTGATGATAAATGAACAGTATTGATAGTACCAATAACATTCCTTTTGTTCCCTTTACTAGTCAGGGGAGCCATCACCCGTCTTTCTGTTCCCTTTACTAATAAGGGGAGTCATCACCATAGCTAATAATAATGGGTGTGATCCTTAGAAGATGTTCCAAAAGCAACCTCTGTTTTGACTATTGAGCACTCTTTCAATGTTTCATATCGATATCAAGTTCCAGAAGCAACCTTTGTTTTGACTATTCTAGACGTACAGATTCAAAACTATTTGATCGAGATCAAGTAGCTATAGTAGATTCATTTAGAGATCGAAACTCTATTCCAAGAACACCAATTTAAAAAACAATAGATCCAATATAAACAACAAAGTTGAAAAAATAGTTATATTTCATGTTTTAATTTTATGTTTCATCGCTTTTTTTATGATACTTGATCAATATCGTAAACATGAAAATATTAGATAAAACATCGACATGACAAAAGTTTAATACTTGGAGCCAATACAACTAGATAGAGAAGCAAAGACACAAAGAAACAGAGCGTTCATTCAATAAATCTAAACGATCAAGAGTAGAACAAACAAACAAAAAAAAAAAAACAATAATAAATAACCAAAAACACTGATTATTAAGAATTTAACAAGAAATCAAACTATATTTTTTCTTCTAATTCTATCTTACAACCTAAATAGAAGATGATGTACAACAGGATGAAGCCCTGCAGAGGCTGAGTTGGGTGAGAGGTGGAAGAACAAGAATTAGTGTAAAATGCTATCAAAATTGGGCCTTTCTTTCCAGAAGTAAAGCAAAGCACAAACAGTTGACATTATCAGAGCTCTCATTATGATTCATTTAATTTTCAGCTTTTGTGTGGTAAAATTGTATGTTAGGAGTGGCACTTAGTTACCAGTTGTGGAGTTGAGCAGTAATGCTTTTTACCACTGGGTGATACTCAGTGTGCATATGCTTCTTTGCCTTCTCTGAACCTGCTTCCTCCAACCACTCCTTGTATATGTCCTTCACCATTGGATTCTCAAAAGGATCTTTGATTAAAACCTGCAACGAACAGCACGACCCGGCTCAGATATACATAAGAAGAAGCTGAAATGGGTGACCGAGAAGGAGAAGATGGACATTGAGCTATATTACAATAAAAGAACATCTGCATCTTCGCAAACAAACGTCTAACCAACTCAACTAGCTACTAAACCATCTCAACCCTGTCAAGATTACTCGTGACAGCCACCCACGTCACACAAACTAGCTAAATGGATAGCTGATGGGCCAAGCCAGACCAAGAGGATTCCCTTCTCTCCCTATGTCGATGTCAAAACCATAAATGTTTGGAAATATCGATAGGAATGTTGACATGTCGACGAAAATTTAATACGGTGGTTCTATCAGCATATTGAGCCTGTAATTTATTTAGTTTTGTTCCCTAATTGTATCAAGATGGCTTTCAGAGACAGCATAAATGGGTCGTGCGTCTTTGCTTATGAGTTGATACGTAGATATAAGAACATGAACGTTGTTTAGAGAACGGCGTATTTCATCATAATTTTGACAAACAATATCGACACGACATCTTAACAAAAACATACAAAAGGTACTATCAAAATATGTTTCAGATTGGGTATCAGAAGCGATAAAGAATAAATCCAACATGAATGTACTTACATTTTCCTGATAAGCAGCTTCTAATAACTCAATCAAGTCCTTTGGAGATTGTCCAGGCTTGGGTTTGATTTGGCCCCCTCCATTTAGACAACCTGTTTTTAACAATAATGCCATTATATATAGATAACTTGCTCGATCACGGTTATCGAGATTACTAAGCAGAAAATCACCTGAAGGACAAGCCATGATTTCTAGAAAATGGTAGTCGCATTTTCCTGTTTTGATTTTTCTGACGACATTTTGTAGATTTCGGAATCCGTAGCATAGTGCAAACTTCAACAAAGTCTTCCCGTCCACCTATGTCAAAAATGCACGAACAGACACGATTGTTTAAACCGTGAGGGTTCATCTAACAGTACAAACTTAAATATTTACGACGAGTCAAACAATTTTTATCAGTAACAGTCGAGATGAAATTTTAGCCAACATTCTAATAATACAGAATCATTAGAAAAACAATTACAAAGCATGAAGGAGGGGGAGGGGTGGGGGTGGGGGAGCAAACTCGGGCAAAACGGGAGCTTAGGAGCTTATGTTATTATCTGTAACAGCCCAAGCCCTAGCCCACCGCTAGCAAATATTGCCCTCGTTGGGTTTCCCTTTCAAGCTTCCAAAACGCGTTTGCTAGAGAGGTTTCCACACCTTTATAAAAAAATGTTTCGTATTCTTCCCTAACCGATATGGGATCTCATAATCCACCTCCTTTCGGGCACAGCGTCCTCGCTGGCACTCGTTCCCTCCTTCAATTGATGTGGGACCCCCCAATCAACCCCCCTTCGAGGCTCAACGTCCTTGCTGGCCCACCGCCTCGTGTCCACCCCCCTTCGAGGCTTAGCCTCCTCGCTAGCATCTCGCCCGATGTCTAGTTTGATACCATTCGTAATAGCCCAAGCCCACCACTAGAAGATATTGTCATCTTTGGGCTTACCCTTCCGAGCTTCCCCTCAAGGTTTTTAAAACACGTCTGCTAGGGAGAGGTTTCCACACCCTTATAAAGAATGCTTTATTCTCCTCCCCAACCGATGTAGGATCTCACAATATCACTCATACGAAACCACACAAGAATCATCTTAAAAGTTATACTACGACTCGTTTCCAGCAAGGTTTGGTATTTGGCAATGCCCAATAACGATAAGCCCCTAAATGCCTACGGGTTTAACATCCATAAAAACATTTCAAAAAAAAAAAAAAAAGCGAGCTCACCTCTAGCGTGAGCTCCTGGAAGTCCGAATTTCGAATGGGTTTGAATTCCAAAGGGCCTTCAATTTCTTTTCCAAAGAGTAACTTCGCAGCATGCCTAAAAATTGTTTCTGCATAACCACCAGAACTTCCACGAACTCCGAAAAGATGCCCTTCTTCATTGACATTTGTCAGACTGCAGTAAGATATCCAAGCACAACAGCCTTAGATATATTACATGACTAAACAGTAAACGCGGGAAGGCTTAAAAAGTCATTTAGCATTACATTCTATCCAAAGGGGATTCTTCTAGACTCTTAAAGTCCACCTCTTTCATCTGCAAGTATAGTCAAAACAGACAAGAAAAATGCTAGTGAGAAGCCAAAACTTATTAACATACCAACAAGAAAAAAAAATCATAACATGAGACAAAACTGAACCTGTATCAATTCTAGAACTTCACCGGACGTCAATACCGAATCTACTTCTGTAATTTTGTGGGCCTCATTCTCCTCCCGAGTTTTGTTGATCGAGTCCGACTGAAAAACAAAGTCCTCCCTGGCTGCCTCCAGTTTCTTATCATAACAGGGCATGACAGTAACATGGTAAACATCGTCTGATCTGCAAAATAAACATGAACCATAAATTTCAAGCACAACCCAAGGTGAATGCAAAGACAATATGTCTCTAATGGCTTTGACAATGCTTGAGGCGTGTGCCTAGGCACCTTAATGAAACCCACTCAAGGCGTGCAGCTCTGCGCCTCAAACCTGAGTTCCTAATATCTTGCTTTAATATTTCTAATTTTTGAGGAGAAATGCATGAATAATCTTACCATCCTGAATAAAAGCTCTTTTTTCTTTTAACTTCTTATCATCATACCATTCATCCAACTATTTTGCTTCACACATTAACATTTATTTACTTTTTTCTGTAGGGCACCGACCCGCACAGTTTTTTTCCCGCCTCACGCTTAGGCACTGGAGCTATTGTGCTATAGTTGACTGTATAAAAAATATGACCAATACGAAACAATCAAAATTGCCTCTGCTCTTCATTCTGTTCCTAATTAAATCTATTCATGCCATAAATACCATAACCATATTTTATCATCCTAACTCAAAACACATCGTTACATACCATCACAATTTCCAATCAAATACATCAGAAAGAACAGGAATAATAGAAATATAATGTAATTACCTAATACCCAATTTTTGGCACATATGATGCTTGACTATTGATCCAATCATTTGCTGAGGACTCTTCACTGATGATATGTAAGGCAAAATGTAGGATCCATGTTGTTTCTCAGCATAGCATATCCATCCTGAAATCGGAATAGATGTGTGGGTTAATCTCAATTTCAACAAAAATATTGCTTAATATCGCGCTCTTAAATTTATCAAATTAACTCATAAAATTATTTAAATCAAGAAGTTAAAATATATCACTTCAAATCACATATGACCTGCAACACACGCCCTTGGCAGAAAAAGAAGCAAAAAGGAGAAATTGATGCAAAGGAACTTTTCTGCCTATGTCA